ACCATATCTCTAAATTACAAAACCGAACTTAAAGCGAGCTATTATATAAGGATGACAATGGGTATCCTGTTACAAGGTACTCGCGAATATCCAATCCAGTTATATAAGATTAGTATACCCTGTTACAGAGTACTCGCAGATATCCAACCCAGTTATATAATATTAGAGTACTTTATAATTGAGTTTAGATAGTAATTTCACTACTCGTATCGGGTTTAGATACCATTCCTTAGGTACCCGATACTCGAACCCGATTATATATATTTTTTAATTTCATGTAATTAAAGACAAACTTATATTGTTGATTAAATTAATTCATGAAACTATTATATATATAATTTTTGTATATATACTTTAAATATAAATATATTTATTTTCTATTTTATATTAACGTTACATAAATTATAACGTATAAAATTATTAATTATAATATATATACTTTTATTTATATAAACTTATAAAATATATACCTAAAGAGAAGTTGTGAGATTATAATAGTTTTAGAACTTATTTTTTTTAATTTCATGTAATTAAGGACAAACTCATATAGTTAATTAAACTTGCAATGTTGTTTAAATTGTTGTTTGGATATTTATTTTTAATTATTTAAATTGATATTTTAAATATTTGTTTTTGATTATTTAACTTTAAATTTTATTATTTGTTTGTTTTTATAAATTTAATTATTAATGAATTATATGAAATATAGATGAAAAATTATTGTATATAAATACGGATATGGATTCAGATTTAAGTAATTGGATACTCATAAAGAGCAATTTAATAATTCCTTTACATAATATAGTTTTAAAATAAATTCGGATAATTATCAAGTAATTGATATAAATCTGACTTTGGGTTCGAGTAACAAATTTAAATAATATTTGAATAATTATAGAATTATTAGGAATATTTTGTGAATATCCATTCATGTTATCTATATCTAGATTTAATGTAAATCAGATTAGATTAGGATATAATTCATCTAATTTCTAAGTGTTATCCTCATCTTGTAAAGGAGTTATTTACCTATAAATAGGCCCCCTTTAGTTTATTTGTATACACACTTCAATAAGATTTCTTCTCTCCCCTAAATACTTTTTTTCTTCTCTTTAAGTATTCTTTCAAGTTATTTTTATTTATTCTTATAAAGTTATTTTTTCATAACACGTTATCAGCACGATCTTTTAATCTCTCACCCTCAAGCTTCACAAAGTCGACAATCCTATAATCTCTCACCCTCACCCTCTAGCTTCACAAAGTCAGCGATCCTATAATCTCTCACCTTTAAGCC